GTTCTGGAATCTAGTGGTGATGACCACACAACTGTATGAAGTGTAACACCAATTTTATTAATAAAACACATATAAAAGGATGTACATATAGTTAAAGCTAAATAAGCAGGAGGCCATTAGCATGAGATCATTTTTGTACCCAAGCTCTTAGGTAAGCACACGGGAACTTAACTTGGAAACATTTCTTGTAACTCGCTTGGTTAAAAAAAAAAGAGCCTCAGCCAATCACTGCTAACCAGCTGATTGGTTATACAACTAGGGACCTTCCATCAGAGAATACCCACATACGGCAAATACCTCATCACACCATGCCCAAATAAGGCAAACATTTAGCTGTAGCCAATCAGATAATTTCCCTACTTTGCTTCTGTGTTCAGCCTATAAAAGTTCCCTTCTCACACTACTAGGTGGGGTTCTCTGAACCTCTTCTGGCTCCAAGGTGCTTCCTGATTCATGAATTGTTCTTTGCTCAAATAAACTCTGTCAACTTTATTTTTCTAAAGCTTTTCTTTTAACAATATAGTACTAGATGCTGAGACAACAGGTGATTTTTTTATTTTATTGTGCTTTTCTTTTTCTCCCCTCTTACCGAGAACATGCATTACCTTGTAATTAGAAGAAAACTTGTTAAAATCAATTCAAATTCAAAAGCTGAGATTGTGCATTCTCCTAATAATCTTTTAAGTGACCCAACACAGATTACGTTCAGATGAAATTCTAGAATAAGAAAACTGAATTGTACTAGGAAAAAAATCAGAAGAGGGCTGCCTCTGGAAGGGTGGAGGCAGAGATTGACTAGCAAGGGGCATAAGGAAACATTCTGAAATGATGGAAATGATAGTAGTGGTCTATATGGTGATGGGGTTTGTGTTACACAGGCGGATGCATTTTTAAAATTCAGGGAATATATACTTATGGGTTATGACATTTCACAGCATGTAAATTTTACATTAAAACAATAACCAAATATCGAACTCAAGTTAATGACAGGTATGTTGCAGTAGTTGGGGAAGTGTGCTTTGAGATATATACTTAAAAATAAGGTGGATTAATGGATAAATAGAGGTAAAGGGATAGATCTGTGATAAAGCAAATATAATAAAATGTCAATGGTAGAATATAGGTGGTGAGTATGTGAGTGTTCACTGCTTTATATTTGAAAATTTTCACAATAAAACATTGGGAAAAAAAGGAACCCAGTATGAAGTCTTCATTATCTATCCTCTGTCTTCCAAAACTCGATCTTACTTAATTGTCTCTTTTCCCACTCTCTTTTAGGCATTCCCACTTAGTTATAGAATTTATCTTCAGTTCCTACAAATTTTTCTTGCTTTCTCCTTTTATTAATGGTAACACCATTCTTCTAGTTGTGAACATTTTGCAGGAAAAAAATCATTTTTCTTTCCCCTCCTTTCTCCCCTATCCTCTAATCCAATTACGGGCTAAATTCTTCTGATTTTCACTTTATAGCATCTCACTTATCATTAGCACCACCTTCATTCTGCACCAAATACCTGGTTATCCTAGTGGCCATCTCCAAAAAGAAATAAAGCGGTATCACTAAAAAAATAATTTTAAAAGAAAGTTGTTTTTACAAACTTATCTATAGAATCATTCTGGTAGGATACCATACTAGAATTAGAGTATCCTTGGTTGTTTTAAGTCTTCAAACTGAATTCCAGCCTCACTTCCTTTTAGTTTGTATGTTAATGACTTGAAACCAATTTTGGATAATTTACATGCATACATCCCTATCACAGAAAACAAAGATATGACTTAAATTCATGACTACATGCATCTATTTATAGCTACAAATTATTGAGTGCTTATTCTGTAAGACACCAAGCTAGGTGCTTTTAGTGCATCATTTAAATTTAATCCTCCCAACAACCCCGTGGAGTAGGTATTATCTCTATTTTACAGATCAGGATACTGAAACTCAGAAAGTTACAGAGCTCGTAAATGTCAATTAATAGGATTCAATCCCAGGTTTGTCTGACTTTTAAATCTAGTGGCCTTATCCCACTAGGAAACCCCCGGGGAAATTTCCCACTATATCACACACCATTCAGCCTTAATTAAGCATCTATTTAGATACCTTGACAAGCATTTTAAAAATCTCATTCCTGGTTTTCTTCTTCCCCACTTTTACTATCATTTCACCAATTCCCCCAACTATTTACTTTTATACCATTGTAATAACATATTTTTAATAAACTGCCTAAAATCCTTTTGGATTTATATTCCATTGAGGTATAAAGAAGGAGAAATAAAAAAGCCCTCTGAAATCCTGTAATTACTTTTACTTAATGTTGGCTGGTTTTTTTCATGTTATTTGCCTTTATTAAATTCTCAGGTTTATGTTCTAGTGTACACACTGCTTAAGTTATGAAATAACTGAGGAAAGCCTATTTTAAACTGCCTCTGGTGCTTCTAAACACAATGAATAAATTTTACCCTAGGCTTGCACAGAAAATGCACATTTCACCTTGGTATGGATAACCAGATGTTTGAGGAAAGGGAGGGGGATTAAAAATAGTTAATGACAGTTCATAATAAAAGCGATTTTCAAAATTCCATTATTTTGCTCCCCTGCTTTGAATGGGACAGAGCGTGGCACACAGCTTGCTGAATCCCAAGGTCTCCCTATTGGTACCTTGTAACCATATCTCTTTTCACTGTCCTTTACATTCTGTTTAAAATCCTAAAGGTACTTGTTTACATTAGAAGGTGCAGGTTATTTCCTAATAGGAATGACCACTTTTTTGTCATTTTTACAAGCTACTCTTCTGTACAATGCTGTCTTTTTAGATGGGCCACATTCGTTGTCGTGACAGAGGACCTAGTGTCAGCGATTCAAAGGGAATATTCTGTGTCTTTGGTTTCAAGTGATTTTTTTTGCTAATGCTAAGTGTGGGCCAACACGGAACACTGGTTTTCCCACTTGCTCCTTTGGCTCTGTGTGTGGTGTCAGGGTGCCAAGTTCTGTGATGGCATCACATTTTTTCACTCTGGCTTGTTTTTGTTGTTGATTCTAACTGTTACTTTGGTTTTTGTTTGGTTGGTTTGGTCTTGCTAGGGCTTATCAAGGAACTCACCTTACACTTGTAGCCACCTTCACCTTTCAGAAGCGCTCTGATCTAGCAGTTCTGCTGCTAACAATTTCAGGGTTTAATTAGCTGAGACACAAAAACCATTTGTCATTCAAATTCCCAGACAGTGACTTGGCAAAACGAGATCTACTAGATTTAGGGTAAAGATGAAGGGGAAAGAAAAACAAACTAGGTATCATTTCATGCTAACTGGGTATTATTATGTGAGAACGGTAAGTATTTGACTTCTCTATTTCCAGATTCAAATTGTTAGTGCAGCTCAAGTAGAGATACAGGAACAAGAGAGTAAATATTCTTTGAAAAATTTTCATTTCAAATTATATATACATAAAAAATGACCAGGGCAAAGGTTTATTTACTTGTGCTTTACATCATATTAGCTCCTTCAACTAAAATGGTTTTCTCTTGTTATAAAATAATGTAATTCTCTCTCTTTTGAATTTCTTCCTCTTTCAGGGATTCAGAGTTAAATTTATGAGAATACTATTGAGCCTAGCACATAAAGCATTTATGTAAAGTTTATCAGATTATTTGGGAATAGGAGGATCCCAGGGAGGAGAGAAAACTATTAATGAAAAGTAATAGGCAGGTTAAATCCTAGAATAAAAACATCCCAGGGGTTCTGCAGATGGTTCTGCTTCTTAGTATTTTTTCCTCCTGTACTTCTTATTTAGAAAAGGTTTTTTCTTACTAAACAAAGTGAATTTAGTAAATAATAGTTCAGCTTTCTAATCTTCTTTATTAACAATATACAAGTGCCAAATTAGAACACCTGATCAACATGAGGTGACAATAGTGTTCCAGCAAAGAGAAAGAAAGCCAATGATAAAGTCTTATGGTGAGTAAATGTATGATTTCCATTAGATTCTGTCAAATATATTATACGGATCTCCCTTAATGTCTCTCTGGGATCACGGAGCCCAAATAAAGAACACTTGTAGACAGTCAAGAGGGTAAGGAAACCATAAGAAATAGAGAATCTGGGGTCAGGGAGGACTCTGCCATGGGCCTCCTCCTTTAGCATCGTTGCCAAATTAACTGCAAATTTTTCAGATTGTGTTACTTTGTATTTTGAACCCTTCTCACTAAAACCATACTCTACCATCTACCAAGTTTCCATTCCAGTATGGTCTGTTAGTTTACAACAAATGTTTCTATGGCATCGATGAGCTCATTTGTGACCGGTAAACAAGAGAATTAACTCAGTGTAACACGGAATTGTTCTGGCTCCTAGGCACGGGCTCTGGAATAACAGAAGTAAAATTTTAACTCTAAGGGGTAAAGGAAAACAGTTCTCACTCATTTCAGCTCTATTTTTAGAGAAATAAAAGGAGTGCCTGCACCTGGGGTTCCTCCCCAGAGCAGCATACCCCAGGTTTTGCATGATTCTGCCCCAGAAAGGCTGCACTTCCTCCCGTGCTCAGAGTTCCTCTCCCACCTGCTTTGCTCAACACTCAGAAGCCAATATTCTTACTTGATTGTTTCTGTGCATTTTTAATATCCCCTGAGGCAGCCTTCACCACAAGATGAGCTGCCTGCCTGGGCTATCCAGGTTATCTCTGGAGGTGCAATTATTGTTTCTGTTAGTGCTTTAGTTATAAAGATGTGCAAGTTTTGAGTTTATCCCTGATCTTATTTTTACTGTAAGCGCTTGTTCTTTTTAATGAACATTTTTGCAGAATGCATTGTTTTTCAGGAATATGTATCTTGTGTTATAGAAGAAATCCTGTACTTTGCACTTAGCAGATGCGTAATAAATGCCGATAGATTGTTTATAATTATTATCATATGAATTTAAAAAAGTGATTCCAACGGAAGACTGTATTGAGAATGAACCTAATTACAAGAATTGAGCAAGATCATTTGACTCTCTAGAGAACAGAATTTCTAAAAGTCATTTTAATTTGCATGATATCTCTATTGTTTTAGAGAAAAGGAAGCTAACTTTTCATTTTCAAGGATTGATGAACAATCATCCACGAATTCTTGAAGTTGAGTAACAGGAAACTGCACTTGTTTTTCAAACCACTTGGCAATTGTAAGAAGCTGCTGATCACAAAATGCACGCCCAATAAACTGCAGTCCTATTGGCAGCCCTTGGTCTGAGAGTGCTACAGGGATACTCACTGCTGGCAATCCTGCAGAAAGGAAAGAAACCCATTAGTTGATTAATTCTCCGCCCTAAAAGCAGAGACCTCTTCCACTTTCCAGTGCTAGTAAGTAAGGCAGGATAAGGTTTAAAAAACAACAAAAAATATTATAATGCATACATGCTTTTGTATCATGCTTTGTTCCCTTAATAATATATCTTGGAAATCACTGTATCAGTTCACAGAAACCTCCTTCATTCCTTTTTTATAGCTGTATAGTAAGTACTCCATTACATGGTTTTACCATAATTTATTAAACCAGTCTTCTATGGTTGGGCATTTAGGTTGTTGTCAATATTTAGCTATTTCATACAATGTCCCAGTGAATTACCTTGTGTATATGTTTTCTGGTGTTCTTGAATGTTTCTTAAATGAAGAGGGATTGCTTCATCATAAGTACATATGTAATTAGATATTGCCAGATTCCCCTCCAAAGAAGTTGTACCATTTTGAATTCCCACCAGCAAAATGAAGGATTTATTTTCTTATAGCCTTGCCAACAGAGTGTGTTGTTGAGCTTTTGAATTTTTGCCAGTCCATTAGATGAGAAATTAGCTCAGGGTAGTTTTAATTCCAGATTTGGGGCAGAGAAAGTACAAAAACCCAGAACATCTTGTTATGCCATAAAACAAGGACGTTTTCAATAATTAATGGGAACAGCTTTAAAGGATACATACAACTTGAAGGGGCAACTACAGGCCAAATTTGGAACAATTTGAGCATCAAAAACAATAATGACAGTAATTGCTTATAATACACTGAATTAAAAAAAGGAAAGCTCTTAGAGAAACTGCTAGCTAATAAATGCAGAAGGAATTATAGAATTAGAGAAGACAGATTTTGTAATTCTTTAAGTAATAATTAGTTCAGGAGAGCATCATCAATGGATGGTAAAATAATTGGGTTCAAGATTATTGAGAAATAGAGGCCGGGTGCGGTGGCTCACGCCTGTAATCCTAGCACTCTGGGAGGCCGAGGCGGGCGGATTGTTTGAGCTCAGGAGTTCGAAACCAGCCTGAGCAAGAGGGAGATCCTGTCTCGCTTTCTAAAAAATAGAAAGAAATTAATCGGACAACTAAAAATATATAGAAAAAATTAGCTGGGCACGGTGGTGCATGCCTGTAGTCCCAGCTACTTGAGAGGCTGAGGCAGAAGGATCGCTTGAGCCCAGGAGTTTGAGGTTGCTGTGAGCTAGGCTGAAGCCACGGCACTCTAGCCCGGGCAACACAGTGAGACTCTGTCTCAAAAAAAAAAAAAAAATATTATTGAGAAATAGGATATATACACGGTCTCAAAATATTACCCCGTAAATTACTTATAAATGATAAAAGGAAAAAAGTACCCTTATAAGGAAAACATCTGGACGTTATCTCCTTAACCAAGTGGTCAATTTAGTTTCCAAAAGAGGAACAAACTGAATTTAACTGTTTTCCTGATGCGAAGAGTATGCAGGATTGTAGTGTTTCTACCAAACATGTTTCCCTCAGTCTAATCATGAGGAAACAATTTGACAAATCCAGATTATGGATGGGACATTCTAGAGGACAAGTACACTGGGCTCTTCAAAAAAGTCAATGTCATTTAAAAGAAAATTTTTAAAAGGTGGGGGATTTCTTATCAGAAACTATGCAGGACAGAAGAAAGTAGCACAACATTTTTTAAGTGCTAAAGACAAGAAAACCAGAATCCTATATCCAGCAAAATTACTTTTCAAAATGAAAGGGAAATTAAGATATTCTCAGGCTGGGCACAGTGGCACATGCCTGTAATCCTAGCACTCTGGGAGGCCGAGGCCGGACAATTGCTTGAGCTCAGGAGTTAGAGATCAGCCTGAGCAAGAGCGAGACCCTGTCTCTACCAAAAACAGAAAAATTAGCTGGATGTGTGGCGTGCATCTGTAGTCCCAGCTACTTGGGAGGCTGAGGCAGGAGGATCACTTGAGCCCAGGAATTTGAGGTTGCGGTGAGCTATGATGATGCCACTACACTCTATCTGGGGTAACAGAGAGAGACTCTGTCACACACACAAAAAGAATATTCTCAGAAGGAAAGCTAAGCGAATTTGTGGCCAGCAGACCTTCCCTAAAAGAATGGCTAAAGAAATTTCTCCAAACAGAAAAGAGGCGATAAAAGAGGAAGGAATAAGGAACACAGTAAACAAAAGTATAGGTAAATAAAATAGATTTTCCTTTTCCTCTTAAGTTTTCTACATTATCTTAATTTAACTTTATTTTCTACATTATGTATGATGATTGAAACAAAAATTGTAACACAGCCTGATGTGGTTCTAAGAAAGACTAAGAGGTGGGGTGACTGTTCTAGATTTTAAAAAGATATTATACACAAATGTCATATATTAGGGGAAAAAACAATTTATAAAAGAAATTTTTGGTACAATTGAGAAAATTTGACTATGGACTATGTTTGGATTATTACCGAATGAATGTTTGTTTTCTTAGGCATAATAATGAAATTGTGGTTATGTGGGAGAATTTATTCTTAGAAGATTTGTGATAAAGTGTTTAGACCCTAGGTAAAGTGTTATGATGCCTGAAACTTTCTTTCAAATGATTCAGCTATAAACAAAGTGTGTGTGTGTGTGTGTGTGTGTGTGTTTGTGTATAGAAAGAGAGAGAAAAAGAGAAGGAGAAACAAATAAGGCAAAATGTTAAAAAGAATGAATCCAGGTGAAGGCACACTAGTATTCATCATACTACTTTTTTTTAGCTCATCTCTAGGTTCGAAAGTTTCCAAAATAAAAGTTAAAAAAAAAACCATTAAAAGTACTGGTTCAGAAAACATGTGTATGTGGTGTGTGGTGAGAGTATGCACACATGTCCACGTGTACACGCATACATACACACATTCCTTCTGAAACATTCCAAAAGGACAGGCTATTGCTTTTAGGGAACAATCTAGCTAGAGCTTAAGTTGAAGACAAGGCTACCTGCCTAAGAATTTGAACAAAACCAAAATGTTGTTGAGGTATCCTTACCTGCCATATTTACAGCCTGTGTAAAAATATCGTCCTGGGCGCTTCGTGTTCTGTTGTCTTCTTTGATGAACTCCAAGTAGGGTACTGCCTCACTCAAGGTGGTGGGAGTTAGCAAGACATCTACTCCAGAGTTAAAAACATTCACAAAGTCATTAGCAATGAGGCGTCTTACTTTCTGGGCTTTGATGAAATAATTCTCATAGTTTCTGTGGGGAAAAAAATGGATGATATTTTAAGGACTTTTTGTATTTTTCCTTTAATCAATTCTCTTGCATCAGGCTTGATAAAGAACCACTGAATTCTTTAGCGGGCATCACTAAGATTTCTAACAACACATGAAAATGAATTCTGTTCAACTGTATTGTTACACTAGTTTGTATATCTAGAATCTAATCAATCAGAATTCACTATTAGATGCAATTCTACACATATAATCACAAAAAATTAATAATTCCAGGGGTATCACTAACCCAGAACATTCATTTTCAGGTGAGGAAAATAAAGTGCATAGCAATTAAATGACTTTCTAAAGGTTACAAAGCTAGACAGGGGTACAGTGGGTTAGAATTTTCTGTTATAATGCCTTACTTCATCTTTAATATAATGATAACTAATTATTATAAGGACTCTGAGGTCCTGCAAAATTCTAGCATGCCATTTGAATTAGACACTAGGAAACACTCCTAGAAAATAGGTTCTGAAAACAGAAACTAGGGAAAGTATGGAGTGTTTGCATTTTGTATTTTATGGATAGGCATAGCCCAGGAGGGGAATTGTGAAATTCAAGAAAGAATGTTTATTTTACCAAAAAGATTAAGGAAAAAGCCAGACATAGTAGTGACCATAAATCAATGATGCAAGGAAAGGGGAAAAGAAAACTTGTTGGATCCTTCTGAAGTTGTTAAGAAAGATTAGAAAAAAGAACTAATTGTTCTAAACCTCAGTTTCCTCAACTGTAAAAATGGATATAACAACTTCAGTTCTAATGAGGGCCAAATAAAATAAGACAAAAATGTAAAGTCTTTTTTACTGTAAAAGAGTACTATAGAAATATCAGATATCCTTACTATCATTTGCCTACAGGGTCTACAGAGAGATCAATGCATGCATCACATATAATTTACGCAACAACAATAACAGTTGGTGGCTTAAATACTACATTAATAGTATTCTCAAAACCTAAATTTTATAAAAGAATAAATACTTGTTTTCTACTAAATTTCTTCCTACTATATGGTTCAAAAGCAGAACTTCTGCTTCCATCCATTACGGAGTAATAGGGATGGGATTTACCCTGTGCTGTGGTGTGAATGTTTGTTCCCTCCAAGACTCATGTTGAAATTTAAGTGCCATTGTAACAGTATTAAGAAGGGGAACCCTTAAGAGGTGATTAGGCTATGATGGCTACGCCCTCATGGGTGGGATTGGTGCTATTATAAAAGGGCCAGTTCAGTTCTCTTGCCCTTCTGCTTTCTGACATGGGATGATGCAGAAGAAGGCCCTCACCAGATGCTGGCCCCTCACTCTTGGACTTCCCAGCTTCCTGAACTATGAGCCGATAAATTTTTCTGTTCATTATAAATTACCCAGTCTCAGGCATTCTGTTACAGCAGCAAAAATGGATGAAGATACACTGCCTTCTTAAACAACTAGAAATCTGGACAAAATACATGAAACAACATTAAATAACAGACATTCTGGAGAAAAAGTTCTGAGAGACGGAAAGCAAATGAGGTAACCCATTGATTTTCCTAGATTAATGCATGGAGGCAGTTTTCAGGCCTCATTCTAGAGAGAAGGGACTTAAGTGGGTTGGGGTGGGTGTTCAATAAGTTAGAGAGACAGAGATCTGAAGTTCAGGGAGGTAAGGACAGCTAGAATTTGCAAAGCAGAGTACTGAGTAAGAGAGAGTAGCAAGTAGATAGAGCTCAAGAGATCTGCAGAGATCCCTTGAGTCTTTGGCTGAGTACTGATCTATACATGAATAAAAAGAAACTCCCAAGACTGGTAAAACAATCATCAAAAAGCAGTAGGCCAAACAATTCCTCGAGTTCACACAGGGTTAGAAACAGTATAATTTGTGTTCCCAACAGCCTAAGTGGAAAGACCTCATAATATATGGGGCATCTGGTGAAAATTTTCAAGGCTATCACCTTAAACTAAGGCTAAATTAGCCCTTGACTTAAGGCTGCTTTGGACTTATCCTAACAAAGCTTAAAAGGAAGACTTACAAGGATCCAACATATTCCAAGTAACTTAATTGTATCCCAGAACAAATCTCAACACTGTTTAAAGGAATACAACAAAAATCCAGCAAGTAACAAGGTGAAATTCACAATGTCCAGGCATGTAAAGAAGCAGAAACTATGACCCATAACTGCGGGAGAAAAAAGCAATTAATATAAACAGATTCAGAAATGTTGGAATTAGCAGATAAGAATATTAAAACAGCTACTATAAATATGCTTTATATGTTCAAGAAGGTGGAGAAAATATTTCTAGAGGCAAAAAATACAATATATAGATGAAAAAATAAACTGGAGAGAAGTGGTATACAGAAAAAAGATCAGTGATTCTGAAAATGATGATAGAAACTATCCAAAAGGATGCACAGAGAGAAAAAAGATTGGAAAAAAGGAAGAAGAACAACAAAAAAAGGAAGGAACATCAGTGAGCTGTGGGATGACATAATGCAGATTAACATAGAAATAAATGGTATCCCAGAAGGATGGGGGAAGGACAGAAAAAACATTTGAGGAAATAATGACCAAAATTTTTCCAAATTTGATTAAAACTATAATCCCACAGATCAAAGGAGCTCAACAAACCCTTAAGGAAAAGAAATATGCAGAAAACCACATCAAGGCACATCACAGTTAAATTCCTGAAAACCAATGATAAAGAGAAAATCAGAAAATCAGCCAGAGGAAAAAAAGACACATAATATAAAGAGGAAGGAAGATAAGAATGACAATAGACTTCTCAGAAACTACGCAAGCCAGAAGACAATGAAACAACGTCTTGAAAGTACTGAAAGAAAAAACTATTAATATATACTTTTATATCCAGAGAAAGTATCTTTTAAAATTAAAGGCAAAATAAAGACTTCTACATATAAACAAATGTGGAAAGTGTTCATTGCTAGCAGGACTGTACTAAAATATTAAAGGAAGT